GTCGGCAAGGGTTTCTGCCTCACCCGGGCCGCCTTGACCCCCTAGCCAGAGAGGAGTAAAAGCCAGCCCAGGAGCTAGGAGAGCATCTCAGGCTCTGTTAGGAGCCCTGGGAAGCATCGTTGGCCTTGGCCAACTACAAGCTTGCTGGTGGCAAGTGAGGCCTTTCTCTGAGGTGGATAATATGGTCACCTGTCACCAGGTTCTAGTCTAATTCTGCCCTTGGCATATGGTAGGTAAGCAATAAGCTTTCATTAGGCATTATGTACTGTGCTAAGCCCTGGAGATACAAAGCCAAAAAGAAAGCCAATTCCTGCCTTCAAGGATCTTACATGCCAATGGGGAATGACGGAGACAAAGAGTACTCACAAAGAGAAGCACAGCCAGGAGGGAAATGAAGCAAGGGCAGCCAGGGGCCATGCCCAAAATGGAGGCCTCAAATGGGCAAACGTGGCAGAGGGCTATTCCAGATTCAGAAGGTCCCGGGAACCCTCAGGATGAAAAGGGAGCTGAGTCATGGTGACAAAGATCATAGCCTCGGAAGCATAGCCAGGAGGGGAACAAAGTGTGGCTGACCTGTTCCCAACTGGGAAGCCCCAGTCTTGTAATCTCCTGAGTCAAAGTGCTTTTGGCCCTTCTGGAGAAAACCCCAGCCCCCAACTCTAGTCCTAGGCTTGAGTATTTGCCCTTTAGCTTTGCCTCTTCAGCTCTCTTATGAATAGTACTGCTACCTGTCCTGCTTCTTTTCTCCAGGTTCTTCCAAGGGATGTTCAGACTCCTCTTTATGGGGTGTCGCAAGGCTGGGACTGGCCTGGCTCCTGGCTCCTGGCTCCTAGTTCCCAGCTCCTGGCTCCTGGCTCCTGGCTCCCAGCTCCTGGCCCCAGGGTTGCTCAGGCAAAATGGCCCCAACATGTCTTTCCAACGGTTGTGCCTCTACATAACTCTTCCCCTCCAGGCAAAACATCCCAGAGAAACAATAACTCAAATACCATAGCACTTAGCAAATTGCTTAATAAAGTGAGGATAAAGACATTTCCACTACCTATCATGACGGTGGTATAGTGATGGGATTCAGAGTGCAGAGGAGCTGGCTTCAGGCCCTACCTTTGACTCTTCCTATTTGACCTTGACGCTTCTCTGGGCCTCCTCCTTTGTAAAATGAAGGGGCTGGCCTCCAGATGGCTTCTGAGGTCTCTTTTAGCTCTAGCCGTATGATCTTATAAATCTTAGGCCACAGCAGAAAAGTGGAATTGCGTTGAATTTGGAGTTACCTAGGTTTAAATACTACTTAGTGCCTGTGTGACCCTGAGCAAGTCCCTTTCATTCTCTGAGCCTCAGTTTCCTCACTTAGCAAATATGGGGGTTAAATCAAACCATCTCAAGAAGTTCCTTCTAGCATTATCATTCTATGCAACTCAAAAACATGCGTGTACCAAACACTTACTACTGAATCCTGCTTTGTGTGAGGCTCTGGGGATAAGAAACTAAAGGTTAAATAGTCCATGCCCTCAGGGAACTTCCATTCTAATTGGGCAGTGGGGGTGGAGAATGGATATGAAATATATGCACAGGGAAGAACATGATTATTTGAGCGTGGAGAAAGTACCAGTAGTTCTGGTTGGGGCCATTTTTGGCAGAGCAAGCCAGCGACAAGAACCAGACAGGCCCCAGTCCTGCCACGTCCCAGAAACGAGAACCCGATGACAAGCAAGACAGGCAGAAGGATTGTCCGTGAAAGAGCCGAAGAGGTGAAATTGAAGACCACGAAAGCTTGGGGTCTGTGGCTTCCTCCAGAAGTCACTGCAGAAGGGGCGAGAGTATTTTGACTTAGGAGACTGCGATGTTGAGGTTATCTACATTGGGAATGGGCCCAAGTTGGCCAAGCTTCGTTCTCCTCTTGGCTGTGATTCTGAGGCTAAGGTTTTGGTCGCTCAGCTGCCCTTCCATGGAAGTTCCCTCAGTGCCTGGGGCTTTCTTACCCTGGAATATCCCTTTACCATGTTTGCCTCTTTCTCCCACTGGTGAGTTCCTTTTGGGTTCTCCATTTTGGGGATGGGCCCAAGATGGCCATGGTTCATTCCCTGGTGGGAGGAGATTAGAGAAAACATCCTGAGCTGAGCCTTAAAGAAAGATACAGATTCTAACAGGTAGAAAGGGGGAGAGAGTGTATTTCAGGCATGACATAACAGCTTATACAAATACACGGAGGTGGCAGAAGAAATGTTCAGTGAAGGGAACACTACATTTCCTCCAAAGTGGGGGGGAAGGAGTGGTTTCCTGCCCAACAGAGCCCTGCTTGACCTTGTCCCCAAAACCCCATTTTGCCCCCAAGCCCTCCTTTCTTCCTAACGTCCCTCTTTCTGACCATCCTTCCAGTCACTCAAGTTTTCAGACTTGGAACCATCCTTAGACTCTTCCCTTGCTGTTTTCATCACTTCCTTGTGTCTCAGTTTCTTCCTCTGCAAAATGAAGAGGTTGGACTACATGATCTCTAAGGTTCCTTCTAGCTTGAAATCTAAGATTACGTGATCCCTTGGCACCCACCCCACCCACGTTTCCCTTTGTCAGAGACTGTCAAACAAAAACCAGATGATCGTATAATCATAGATCCCTAGAGGACATTGTCCAAACCCCTCATTCTACAGATGTGAGAACTGAGATCTAGAGAAATCAAGTGACAGGGCTACATAGCTGGCAAGAGATAGGGCTGGGATTCAAACCAGGGCTGACTGCCCGTCAGATATGCTTTAGAGATAAGAACTATTTGGGTGCTTCTTAGACTAAATGGTTACTGACATATCTTCCAAATCCAAAATTCTGGGATATCTTAAACCCAGGTGTTCCTGACTCCAAGACCAGCTCTCTATGTACTATGGTGCACTGACCTTTCAATACTTTGTGCATTTCTCCTAAGGTATAAGTGTATGAGGAGGAGGGAAGGGGGAAGGTGAGAAACCTTTTCATTTCATAGATAATTTCTAAAAGCTCCCCTTTGTGACTGACACTCCATGATTCATTCTAATATGCTAATGATGGTAATGGATTGCTAAAGGTCAGATGAGTCACAGAACAAGGTGCCTATGACAAATCCCCAAACTGTACAGCTAGAAAGTACCTTGGAAATCATCTACTCCTTTTGGATGAGGAAGCAGGAACAGAAAGGTTCAGGGCACTGGTCCAAAGTCATTCATCAGATTAGAATCTGAAACACAACTTGTACTTGACTCCCATCCTAGGGCTTTTGTTTTTCCAACCCCAAATACTTCATCTTAACCCACTTCTGAATCTTTTCTTGACAACACGGCATTTCTGGACCACTTCAATGATACAACAAATAGTGTGTTTTTCTTCACGTTAAAAAAAAAAAATAAAGTTGCTAAATCAGCCCATTCCAGTGATAGTAGAAATAATATGTAAAGCTAAAATAAGGAACAGAAACTTCTTGTGGTACAAAAGTAAAGCAACTTCCCCCAGATCTATTTTTTAGATTAGTTTTTAAGCTCAGTAAGAAGGGCAAATGGACTTGAGATATCTGTATCTATATCTATATCTGAGACGTCTAAATTAAAACTTGTAAAATTAGCAATACCATGCAGTAATGCTAAGGAAACAGACCTTCCTCCTCTCTAGAGAGAAGGGGGGACTACAGATATGGAATGTGGCATACAGTGCTCCAACAAGGTCCCCATGGCTTTGTTCAAATGCTTTCCTTTGGTACGAGGAAAGATTAAGCAGGAGTTAGGGTGGAGTAAAGGGGAAATTTGTTATTGCTGTTCAGTCATTTTTCAGTAATGTCTGACTCTTCATGATCCCATTTGGGGTTTTCTTGGCAGAGATGCTAGAGTGGTTTGCCATTTCCTTCTCCAGCCCATTTTACAGGTAAAAGAGTCGAGAGGCAAATGGGGTGAAGTGACTTGTCCAGGGTAAGTGTCTGAGGCTGGATTTGAACTTACGAAGGTGAGTCTTCCTGACTCCAGGCCTGGCACTCTGTCCACCTAATTGCCCCAAAGCTGTGGCATAAACGTAAAGTGCAATAATAAAATTTAAAAAAAAAATCTCATACGGTGAAAAATTGCCAGTTTTATAATTGTCAAAGAATTTCCAGAGCAAACACCATCACTTTGCAACACATTTATTTTAAGAAGGAAGAGCGACAGGACCATTGGAAAACATTCAAGGAGTTTAAAACATTACCAGCACCTTTTCTAAAGGCAAAACAGGACTACATACCATCCAGATGAAGGACAGACAGACACACGCTATTTGACAGAACGGGTTTATATGTTCAAAATCAAATCTTTTCATATTGTGTATGTCACCCATGTCAAAAGCAATCAATCATCCAGCCTCATCTTGAGAGTAAATTACTCCATGCAAATATTATATTAAACTTTGGGGTCCTCTTTGACTCATCATATACTTCAGCCTGTAATTGCCGTTAGACCTCTCTAAACTCTTTCATTTTTAGAAGTAGTTCCTGGAAGGATCTTGTGATAAAAAAAAAAAAAATTCTGTATATTTCTGTGACCTGTCTCCTTTTAATGATCTCTTCTTAAAGGAGATGTACCTCATGATGTTTATTATTAGAGTCCAAAGAAAATCAGGTTTTTCATAAAGCACTAAGATCCTGGTCAGACTTCTGGACTCCAGCTTCTTCTTAATGCCTCTAGAGTCATTTCTCTCTTTCCTACTTCAGACTCAGTTTCCTTCAAGGTTCAACTTTCTTCACAGGAACTTCTCCTGATCTTCCTAATCCTTTGCCTTCTTCCTTGATTTCTCATGTATCTACTTATCTGTGTATAGGATATACAGTTATCCCCCCCATATTACAATTTTCCCCATCATGGTTTTGATATAGTGTGGGTCGGCATAAGAAATTAAATGGAAATTTATTGGGAGTTTTGATGAAGCCTTAGACAACATGTAAAGACCAGCAGATGACACAAAGCCTGTGACCCAATAACCCAAATTTTACAATAAAGTACTGTAAATACCCCATAAAAGAAAAAGAAAAAAAAATTCAGACTTCTTCTCTGGTACAAAGGGAGGGCCAAAAAGTTTTATGTGGATTTTCCAGATTATGGGGGCATTATGCCCCTAACCTCTACCCCCACCCCCATTCCCATGTGGAAGGGACAACTGTATTCCTTCCACAGAAAGTAAACTTTTTAAGGTCAGGGATTGTATTTTTTGTTGTTATTTTGCCTTTGTATCCCCTCTGCCTGGTATAATGCCTTTGCATGTAGTATCCTCTTAATAAATACTTGTTGGATTGAACTGGCTAGTTCCATCCTAGGTTAGTTTATACTTTGTTCAAAATACAAACCTATCTTAAAATTATTGTTCCATGTACAGGTATGGGCACTCAACTTCCTATTTCTATTTGTAGATGGAATTTCTTCAACTGAATTGTCATTGATGCTACTTTCTGGTAATAGGAAATCTGGAACCCAGAGTATCCAGGAAACGGATTTATTGAAGTGTGTACAGTTTCCAATTCCTGCTCTTGGGTAATGTGTTTCTTGCTTCCTCCCTGCACTCAATTTCATTTTCATTTCCTAGAAACACATTTTCCAAAAAAATGTAACTAGCACAGGTTTGACCAAAGTGAAGGGAAACCAGCTCTGAGCTCCCTTAAAATACACTGAGGAAATATCTGCATGAAGCACAAGGGATTTAATTTTGTAAATGGCGTAAAAACTAATTTCAAATAGATTTGTCTTTCTAGGAAATACATTGGTCTCACCCAGTCACGAAGATAACTACACATATTGTTTATTGGGAGAACAACACGGCGTAGAATAATGGGCGTCAATGGGTGGCCTAATGTGTAACGGCTAGTACCCATATTTTTTTCCAAGGGTAGAGCCCATTTATTATTTAAACCTTTGTACTCCTTTCACATAGTCGGTAACTAATAAATGCTTATTGGTTTGAAGGATGTTAGATAGAAAAGTCTATCGGGCAGAGTACAAGACTACCCACCCCTCTTGGGACTTCCTTAGTGAGTCCCCGTATTTTCACTGACTTCTTCCTTTAGACTAGACTAATATGCTCTGAAATAGACATATGGCACCCAGAGCCTCCCAATGACTTTGGAGTTCAGTGCTCGAAGAGAGAGAGAAAGGTGCCATGTTTTATGCAGTATTTCAGTGGAAGAAACCAGCAAGAGGATGGTTTACTGAAAGACGCACCATGTTCTTTCAGTTAAGTCTTCTGCATGGCACCAGGATGATTTCAATCCCATCTAATTTATGAAATCCTCCCTCTGCCACCCCTAGTCTCATAAATCCAAGATCAAGAACTGCTTGATCTGTGACGTTTTTAAAGCAAATATGTCACAGGTGATAAAAAAAAGAGAGAGAGAGGACATCTTCAAGAATAATAATAATAACACATCTCACAACAATCCCGAAAGGTAAGTGCTGTAACAATCCCCGTTTAACAGAAGAGGAAACTGAGGCAGGTAGAGGTTAAGTAACTTGCCCAGGGCCACACAGCTAGTAAGTGTCTGAGGCTGGATTTGAACTCAGGTCTTCCTGATTCCAGGTCCAGTGCTCTATCCACTGAGCCATTAGCTGCCTCTTTATTCATCAAAAACATTTTCCAAACACACACACACACACACACACACACACACACACACACACAAACAAACAATAACTTAGGAATCAAGGTGTCCCAATATGGCCATGAGGCATGAAGTCATTGAAGGACATGGCAAAGTAGTTTTTGTGGTCCAAGGTTTGATTCGACACCAAGTCTAACTAAGTTTCCCTTGGGGGGGGTTGAAAAAGTGACAGGGGAGGAGTAGGGGGAGGGGATGGAGCGGGGGGAGGGAGAAGCTTTGTCTCACTGTTGCTTGCAGGCTTCTTTCTTGTCTTTGGCTTTCTGACGTCCTGATGGACGCTTGGTGGGTGAAATAAAGGCTGCTTCGGGGCTTTCCTCGCTGTACTCAAAGAGTCCCTCCACTGGAACTGTATGGGCAAGAGCTAAGAGTAGGAAAGGGGAAATAATGAATGTAAAAGAATTAGCCAATGGCCAAGAGTGTGTTGCTATGCATCTGTCATGTATAGAAGGATGACAGACAAAATGTTTAATATTTTTTAAATTGTCTTTTGTTTGTAGTGGATGGAGCACCAGTCTTGAAGTTAGAAAGTCAACAAACATTTATTAAGTAGCTGCTATGTACCAGGCACTGTGCTAAGCACCAGAGACACAAAGAAAGGGGGGAAAAACACAGAACAAACCTCAAGGAGCTCACAGTCTAATGGGGGAAAAGATGAGAATGATAATAACTTACATTTTTTTCATTTTCAACAATCACTTCCATAAGCTTTTCCATAAGTTTTAAATTTTTCCCCCCTCCCTCCCCCTCCCTCTCTAAGACGGTGTTCAATCTGATATAGGCTCTACAAATACATTCCTATTAAACATATTTTCACACTAGTCATGCTGCAAAGAAAAATTAGAATCAATAGGAGGATCCACAAGAAAGAGGAAACAAAACAAAACAAGAAAAAAAAAGAGCAAATAGTATGCTTCAATCTGCATTCAGACTCCATAGTTCTTTCTTTGGATGTGGATAGATAACTAACAGTTATATGGTGCTTACTATGTGCCAGTCACTGGGTTAAGCACCAGGAATACAAAGAAAGGGGAGAAAAAAACAGAACAAAACTCAAGGAGCTCACAGTCTAATGGGGGAAAATGATGATAATAATAATAGTAATGATAATAGCTAACATGTATATGGTGGCAAAGTAGAGTGCCAGGCTGGAGTCAGGAAACCTCATCTTCTTGAGTTCAAATGTGATTTCAGACACTTATTAGCTATGTGATCCTGGGCAAGTCATTGAACCCTATTTGCTCAGTTTCCTCATCTGTAAAATGAGACAGAGAAAGAAATGGCAAACCACTCCAGTATCTTTGCCAAAAATACCCCAAATGGGGTCACGAAGAGTCGGATATGACTGAAATGACTAAAGAACAACATGAAGGATAAAGACTGTGGGTGATGATTAAAAAAAAATAGGAGGAAGTACAAGGATGATGATAATAGCTAACATATCGGTACAAAATTAGAAAAAAAAATTCAATTCAACGGTCACTTAAATTAATTGATCATTAAGGTCAGGTTTACCCTGGGAGAAGATAGAAATACAAAGATAAAATGAAAAATAATCCTTTTTCTGAAGGAGCTTACATCCTACTTTAGAGACACAGATTGTAAATTAGTTAAAATGTGTGCTTAGTTAAGGAGGGGGAAAAGTATTAACAACTAGGGGACTGGAAAAAGCTTCCAAGGTAGGAGGTGGCATGTGGACTGAGCCTTGAAGAAAGATTCTTAGAAGCAGAGGTGAGGAGGGCAAGCAGTCCAGGCATGGGGGACAGCCTGGGTAAAGGCAGGGAGGTGGGAGTAACTTTCTCTATTGTGGTGGTGTTTTTTTTTTAATCATCACACATACACTTTATCCTCCAGCAGAGTCAGACTATCGGTCTTCTTTTATATGGTGTCTCTCTGGTTGCCATTAAGAAGAGGAGGAGATAGGGGCAGCTAGGTGGCACAGTGGATAGAGCACCAGCCTTGAAGTCAGGAGGACTTGAGTTCAAACGCAACCTCAGACACTTGACACTTACTAGCTGTGTGACCCTGGGCAAGTCACTTAACCCCAACTGCCTCATTAAAAAAAAAAACACAACCCCCCCCTAAAAAAAACCTCAAAAAAAGAATAGGAGGGGCAGCTAGGTGGCGCAGTGGATGGAGCCCTGAAGTCAGGAAGACCTGAGCTCAAATCTGGCCTCAGACCAAACACTTAATACTTACTAGCTGTGTGACCCTGGGCAAATCACTTAATGCCAATTGCCCCCCCCCAAAAAAACCTTCAAAAAAAGAAGATGAAGAAATAATGCCCAGCTCAGGGACCAAGAGCAAATGGGCCAGTTTGACTGGAATGAAGAGTATATGAAGGGAAGTACCGGTTAAAAAGGCTAGAAACGAAGTCTGGAGCCAGATGGTGACAGGCTTGAAATGCATCACACCTAGGGCTTTACAAGAACGGAGAAGGTCCTCCGGTGTGGTACGGGAGGCCCAGTCACAGAGGGTTTTCTGAAGAGGCCAGACTGACACTTGGCAGGGAGGCCGTGGAAGGGACTGAGGCTCAGAGGAGGTTGGTGCAGCTGAGCTGGATTGTGCCAGGGTGAACATGGTAGAAAGAACATACCTTGAGAACTGACGGTAGACGCATTTACGGGTGGATCTGTCCCACTGGACTTAAATGTTGGGTCCAGCTCTTCAGCGACGTTCCGAGAAAACAGCTGCCTGAAAAAGTGTTTAATAGAACAGTGGGTGTTATCAATCTAACTTTCTAATCTACTTAATCTCATTTTCCTTCGGCTAGGACATTGATTTGAGGGTTTTTTGTCGCTGTGGTTGTTGAGATTGGATCTCCCTAACTCAGCCAGGGTGGAAGTGCGAGGGCCACTTATGGGCCCGGCCCCCCTGCTGATCGGCATGAAGCTTTAACCTCCTCTGTTTTTATGACTTTCCAAAGAAGGAAGGAAGAAAGGGAGGGAGGATGAGAGGGTGAGAGGGAGGAAAGGAAAGAAAGGAAGAAGGGTAGAAGGAAGAAGTGATGTGGGAAGGAGAAAGGGAGGAAAGGAGGAAGGAAGGGAGGGGAAAAGGAAGGAAGAGAAGGAGGGAAGGAGAGAAAGAAAGAGAGGGAGGAAAGGAAGGAGGGTGGAAGGAAAGGAGGGGGAAAGAAAGAAGGGCTTTTCTTGTTGGTTTTAAAATGAATTATTATTACAAAGGAAGGTGGTAACTTGGAGAAAATTTTTCCCTATTCAAAATACCCTCCTACCACAGGAGCAAAAAATATAATCCACTTCCTACCCCTCCAATATAGGAAAGGAGTCCATGAATCAGTCAGGAGGAGGAAATGCGAGTCTCTGGTTTGAATAAGGCCACCTACTTTGCACCGCGTCCCTCGGATCCTTGGGCTGGGAGGTCGGAGCAGTCCAGAGCTGGATCTCTAGTAAGGGGCACAACTTCGGAGTCCGGTGGTACTTGAGTCTGTCAGAGAAAAGCAAAAGATGCTTGTGATGGAATCATGGCATGGTGGAGATAGAGCATGGCCTTTGCCATCCAGAGGGAGCTGTGGGTGAGATCAAGAGTTAGTTATCTAATCCCCTCAGCCTTAGTATTCAGACTATGTGACTCTGGGTCCAGAGTGCTTTCCCACTGTTTCAGGCTACCTCCCCTCTCTGTGTCTCAATTATCCCACGTGAGACTCTCCATCTCCTAACGCCAGGAATTTTTCCCCGGCTGTCTCCCATACCTGGAATGCTCACTCTCCTCTGAGTGCTGAATTCCTGGAGAGCAGGGACTGTCTTTTACCTTTCTTTGTATTCCCAGAGCTTAGCATGGTACCTGGCACCTAGTAGGCACCAAAAAAATTTTTGTCGATTCTTTTTGCTCAACCATATATTAACGGTATCTATTTATTATAAGGCTCCCTTTCCTTTGGGGGGAGGGGGAGTGGAAGGAAGAGAAAAATCAATTCTTGTTAAATGAAAAAATGAAATTTAATTAAAAAAATATCAAATGCACCCTCATGCAAAGAATTCAATGGAAAAATAGTAGGCAGGAAGTCCACCGCTCCACCCTCCGCTGTCCAGGGGATTGCTGATGATTATGATAAAAAGCATCGAAGGAGAAATTTGTCGGTAATGTTACTGTAAATGAGCATGTAGAATCTGGAGAAGTCCTTCAGCTAAGGGCGGTCAGGGACTTAACATGAGCCAATCCCTTGCTGAGATGGGGCTGGCCAAAAAAGGAAGGTTCATGGATCTTCAGTGCTTGGGACTCATTAAAGCTCAAGTGAGTATTTCCTTCCAATGAGTAGAAAAATGTCCTTCTCTCTCTCGTCACAAGTTTAGAAACAACATGACTTGTATGATTTAACCATCTGGGGTCCGCTGCTTAGCTTGGACTAGCTCAGTCATGAAACAAACTGAAAAAAACATCCTTCCCCTCCCTCTTTCCCCCACAAATCATAGAAGTTTATCCTAACATTCCAAACTTTTATATAATCAACCCTTGAGCTGGACAGGACCTCAGGGACCATGTAATTCTATGCCCTCGTTTTATAGGTGAGGAGACTGAGGCTCAGAGAAGGAACATAACCTGCCCAAGGCCACACAGGTAGCAAGTGATCGGGCCAGCATTCAAACTCAAGTCCGGTGATTTCGAGTTCAGTGTTATCATTCCTATCATTCTTAAACTGTTGGTTTGTTGTTGGGTTTGTTTTTTTTTTTTTTTAATTTTCTTCCTCTCGCTTTAAGGAAGTGGTTTACTTCTGTATTTGATTTAGCCACAGGACTGAAAAAGCGATGCCTGAGAGAATTTTTTTCCCTAGAGATATCTAGAGATAGTTATTCCATTTTCATTTTCAAGCAGTAATGCTGCTTTTCTCACAAGGGCATACAGTATGTGTGACAGCCACATATTTGGTTAATGAGTAAAAGTTATAAGAGAAAAATAGGAACATAGGATGAGTCATCCTTCCCCAAAGAGCGTCAGTCAGCAGTCAAAGCCGATTAAAAAGCCCCCTTCTTGTTAGTTTACAAAATTAAATAATTCATTTTTATTACAGTATCGTAAAATCAGATCAGGAAGGAATCTCACATCCCAGCCCATGCCAGGAAAGAAGCTCCCTGTGGTATGCCCGACCAGTGGTCATCCAGTCTTTGTAATAACTCCAAAGTGGGAAGATTCACTACCCCATTCCACTCAAGGATAGCCCGAAGCAGTAGGAACCCCGACATGGAGCCTGTATTTGCCCCTTTGAGACTATTACTCATGGCTTCTGATAATGCACTCTGAGCTCAAGCAGAGCAAGTTGATCCCCCCCTCCCTACCACCACACTTCAGTCTATAACCTCCATTGGCTCCCTATTATTTTTAGGATCACATATAAAATTCCTCTGTTCGGCTTTTAAAGCCGTACATAAGCCGGTCCCTTCCTACTCTTTCCAATCTTCTGTGTGTGTGTGTGTGTGTGTGTGTGTGTGTGTTTTGGTTTTGTTTTTTTTTTTGGGGGGGCTAGGCAATGGGGTTAAGTGACTTGCCCAGGGTCACACAGCTAGTAAGTGTCAAATGTCTGAGGCCAGGTTTGAACTCACCTTCTTCTGAGTCCAGAGCTGGTACTCTATCCACTGCACCACCTAGCTGCCCCCCTTTCCAATCTTCTTAACTTTACTCTTCTCTACCTACTCTGTGATACAGTGACGGTGGCCACCATGCTGTTACCTGCATAGGAGATTCTACCCATTTTCACTGGCTGTCCCCCGTGCCTGGAACTCTCTCCCTCCTTGTCTCCCCCTCCCCTTCTTCGTGATTTTCCTGACTTCTGGTCTCATCTAAAGCCCCACCTTCTGCCACAAGCCTTTCCCATTCTTCCTTAATCTTAGTGCCTTTCTTCTGAGACCACTCCCATTATCTTGTAAACACCTTATCTATACATGGTTGTTTACATGTTGTCTCCCCGCAAAGATTCTGGTCTTTTGCCTTTTTCTTTCTCCCTAGGGCTTGGCATAATGCCTGGCACACAGCAGGTGCTTAATAAATGCTTGATTAATTGTCTGACCCCTTCACAGCTTGGAAGACTCATACTGGAAGACAGTTTCCAGGTTGTCCGGATACAGCCTCGTTCTTCTCTAGTCTAGGGTAAGATCCCTAGTTCATTCAAACCATCCTTAAACAGTATAAACTAGAGACCCTTCATCGTCCCAGCAGTCCTCCCCTGGATGGTCTCCAGTTTGTTAACAGCCCTTAAATTGCGATGTCCAGAGCTGAACACAGTATTCTAGATATGGTCTGTCCAGGGCTTCTTACTCCTGGAATCAGCGTCTTCTGTGGCAGCTAGGAAGTGAATAGTAGGATTTATCAAATAAGTCACTTAACCTCTTTGAGCCTCAGTATCCTCATCTGTAAAATGAAAGGATTGGAATTCATAGCCAGGTGCTTTCCAACTCTAGATCTTTGATTCTATGATCATGGAGGTACTTAGGTTGTACAGTGGAGAGAAAACTGGGCCTGGAGATAGCAAGACCCAAGTTCAAATCCAGCCTCAGACACTTACTTGCTGTACCACTCTGGGCAAGTCACTTAAACCACTGCTTGCCTCAGTTTCCCCATATGGAAAATGGGGATAATAACAGCACCTACCTCTCTGGGATGTGAGGACCACATGAGATAATATTTGTAAAGTACTTAGCACAGTGCCTGGCATATAGTAGGTACTATATAAATGTTAGCTATTATTAGCTATAATAATAATTATTATTATTATTACTCCTGGAAGAAATGTCTTTCTTAATGTAGTCTGAGGCCCCATTCAGATGTTCTGTTTGCCACCTTACTCTACTGAGTCAGAATCAACTAAAATGTGTTAAGAAAATATTTATATATCCTTTAAAATGATTAGTGTAAGTTGGAAACCCTAACTCCTTTAACTTCTTGAGTGCAGATGTGGTTGCATTTGAAATTCTGATACCCTTTTCTAGTGGAAGGTCTCACTCTCTAATGGAAACTTCTGTAGGTCTGAAGCACACCTTTACCAAAGGCCCTGGTGAGTGACTTGGGTGGGCGTCTACCCCACAGCAGAAAGGAAATAAACATTTCCACTTGTGGGTGGAGTGGTACAGATGCCACAGCCAAGGTGGGTGGGCATATTGAGGGGGCTTAAGAATCATCAACTACATTAACGAGGAATCAAAATCAGATTGAAACTGATCATTTTAATGAAGTCTCTAAAAATAGCATGACTGTTTTTGGAACCAATTTTTTTAAATGTTCTTTTTGGTATCAGCTTCAGCATCACCAGCCAGAAAAATAAAAATGAGGGAGAAATCTTTAGAAAGAAGGGAAGATTCATAGGCCAATATGATAATAAATTAGATTATATGTAATCATATAATAATAATCATTAAAAGCTAGAAGGGACCTTAGAGGTCATTGATCCAACTTCCTCATTTGACAGGTGAGGAGAGCCAGAGCTGGAGAGGTGAGTGCTTTGGCCAAGGTCACCCAGGTAGAAAGTCAAGCAGCCAGGATTTGAACCCTCATGGCCTCTGACGCCAGACGCATTGCTCTTTTCATGCAGTCTTAGCTGTCTTCTCCCAATCAAGGACTTCGTGGCTGCCCACAAATGACTAATGGACATGCACATTTCCTTTATCCTAAGTGACCAGCCCCAAACAGAATCAATAGACAATTTTTATGCTTTGGTGACTTCAGGGATAAAGACATGGGATGGGATGGCCCAGTAAAGAGACAGCAAGATTAGTAATCAGGAAGATTTGGCTTAACCAAATCATTTAATCCTTCCATTGCCCAGGACATACTGGGACCTACTGATGGAGGGAATTTCCATGCAAAGGAAATCACAAATATCTGGGTAAGCTGGGGCAACTTTTCTGGGCCTCAGTTTCCTCCTCTGCAAAATGAGGAGGTTGGTTTCTAAGGTTGCTTAGCTGTCATCTATCAGTGGATAGAACGTAGGACTTGGAGTCAGGAAGACCTGAGTTCAAATCCAGTCTCAAGACACTTACTGGATGTGTGACCATGAGCACTGCCTGCCTCAGTTTTCTTCAACTGTGAAAGAGCATCTACCTTCCAGGGTTGTTGTGAGGGTCAAATCAGATAATATTTGTAAAGCACTTACACAGTGCCTAGCACATGGTAGGCACTTAAGAAATATTTATTTAAAAATAAAATTAAGAAAAAATCTAGGCCAACCCCTCTCTTCCAACAGCTGAGAGCAGTGAGGCTTTGACTTCTTCAAGGTCACAAAATAAAAAGCAGAGCTTCTGTCTCACCTCGTCCAGCCTCTTCAAATGACCAAGAAGGCTGAGATGTTGGGCAGAGTGCTAGATCAGAACCCGGAGGGCTTGGCCTCAACCCCCACCTGGGACATTTTCTATCTGAGCCTTTTGCCTCATCTGTAAAATGGGGATAAACATACTTCTCAGCCTCACTGCTAGGAGGCTCAAATGCAGAACGTTTCAAGCTCCTTGCAAATTGTCTCTTGTTGTTCAGTCACGTCTGACTCTTTGTGACCCCATTTGGAATTTTCTTGGCAAAGATACTGGAGTGGTTTGCCATTTCCTTCTCCAGCTCATTTTATTGATGGGAAAACTGAGGCAAATAGGGTTAAGAGACTTGCCCAGGGTCATACTAAGTATAGTGGCCGAGGCCAGATTTGAATTCGGGTCCTCCTCATTCCAGGGCTGGCGCTCTATCTACTGCACCACCTAGCTACCCTGATTTTTAATGCTCATCTTTATGTACTCTGAATTCCAATCAAATTGGCCTATCTGTGGTTCCCTGCACATGAGTCTCTTTCCTGTCTCCAAACTTTCGCAAAGGAAAATCCCTATGTCTGGAATGCACCCAGTACCTCACCTGGACCTTCTTTGCTCCCTTCACACTTCAAATGCCATTCCCAAGGAAACCCATCCTAATCTCCCACAGCAGAGAGGGCCCTATTCCAAGAATTAGTTCCATACCGACTCTGAGGATATTTCATATTATATTTTCTATGCAGGTGTTGTTTTCCATCAGTGGGATGCCCTTGAGGTCAAAGCCCTCCTGTCACCCACCCTGGCACCACAACAGGCCCTTAACCAACTGAGTGAAAGTACAAAAGGACACAACTTGGCAGAGAGGAAAGAACCCTTCATTTGGCTTCCAAAGCCTTTCTGCCCTCGTCCCTTCCCAACCTTCCAGTCTTCTTACACCTCCTACCCTCTCTATACTCTGCCATCTGGTGCCACTGGTCTCCTTTCTCGTCCTTGTAAAGGACGCTCCATCTCCCGATGGGGAACATTCTCACTGACTGCCCCTCTCCCATACCTAGAACCCTCTCTCTCCTCCTCTGCCTCCGGGCTTCCTTGGCTCCCCTCAAGCCCCAGCCAGAGCCCCACCTGTACCAGAAGCCTTTCCTATACCCCTTTAAACTTAGTGCCTTCAGCACAAATCTCTTAAAGTTAGGGATTTTGTTTTTGTTGTCTTAAAGCCTAACGTGATAGGTGCTTAATAAATGATAAACTGATTTAATTCAAAAATAAACTAAACTAAACTTAATTCCTTCCCTCCGAGACGAGTTCCAGTTTATCCTGTATATATCTGGTATGTACATAGTTGTGCACGCATGGCTTCTGCCATTGGACTTGGAGATTCTGGCGATCAGGGACCGTTTTCTGCCTTTCTTCGTTATCCCCAATGCTTAGCAAAATACCTGGCACATAGTAGGTCGTTAACAAATGCTTGTCGACTTGACTTCATCTATTGGTTTGGGTTTCCTTGGGCAGACACCAGGGATTTGGGAGAAGACTGAAGGTAACGAAAGAAAAACAGTGCTCCCCACCTGCTTGCTCCTGTTCTGCCTTTGTTCGGAGAAGCTGGCGCTTCTGTTTCTGCTTTCCCTTCTTAGTTCCCATTCCCGCACCTCTCTCTGATGACACTTCAGCTCTTCATCTTGCATGTACCTGGCAATCTCCTGAAAAAGGAAAGAGGTTAGGGGCATCAGAGATGTTGTTGAGTCATTTCAGTCATGTCCAACACTCTGTGACCCCATTTTGGGTTTTATTGGCTAAGATGCTGGAGTGGTTTGCCATTTCCTTCTCCGGCTCATTTTACAGATGAGGAAACAGAGCTAAGTGATTTGCCCAGGGTCACACAGCTAGTAAGTGTCTGAGGCCAGATTTGAATTCAGGTCCTTTTGACTCCGGGCCTGGCACTCTATGCACTATGCCACTTAACGGCCCTAAAAAAGGAACCTCAGATGTCACCTATTCCAAACTCTTCACTTGACAGACAAGGAAACTGAAGTGAATGGATACTACAGATGCTACTGAAGAGGAAATGAAATGATTTCCTCAAGGTCACAGAGCTGAGCTTCAAACCCAGATCCTCTCACTCTAAGCATTCTTTCCACCAAACCATGTTATCTATATACTTTTTCTTCCAGCTTGGAAGATAACGCCAGAGCTGTTGACCATCTGACTTAGAAATATACATTAAGATTTTCTGAAGCATAGATAGGGCAAAATTAATATACCTCATTGTGTTAAACAATTTCAGTGTTTTCTTTGTGTTTCCCTTTCTACCAGTATTTAGTTCAGACATATGGTGCCATTGCTTTAGAGAGCTCTCAGTGTAGAAACTCCCTCCACTGACGCAGATCAGCAATTTGGCTGTAATTTATAGTCTCGGACTTACTTGGCTGGGTTACTGAGAAGTTAAATCATAATGAAGATTAGATCTGGCCCTGCTCAGTTCACTAATAGAATCCCTTTTCTTTTCTCTCCTTGTTTTGAATTGAATTTTAAATCGAATCTCCAGGTACATTTTGTTTTGACCCAATTTCTTAGACAGATCTAAGATTTTTTTTAATTAATTAATTAATTTTTACTTTTCAACATTCACTTCCACACTATTTTGAGTTCCAAATTTTCTCCCCATCTGGTCCCTCCCCCCCTCCCCACGGATCTATGATCTTACTATTCCCTCTTGATGTAAATTCCTCCCTTTCCATCCTGTCCCACTGTTTTCCTCCTGCCACAGAGGGCCCCACTCAACATGGTGGAGGCTTTTACTTGGAAGTATCCTGGAAAGTATTTGTTGGGTCTTCTTCTCAATGATGCAATAGATACTTCCCAACAAAGAGGCAAAGAGATACCTTTATGAAGTACATTGGATGAAAAGAAATGGGTTGTTCAATTACATTCAACAAGCACATATTAAGCTCCTCTTATGCACTAGATTCTGGGTATATGAAAACAAAAAGGACAGCAGTCCTTTGCCCTCAGAGAGTTTCCATTCTACCAATGCCTTTGCACTGGTCTTCCTTTGTGCCTGGAATGCACTCCCTCTTCACCTGCCCCTTATAGAATCCCTGTCTTCCAGACCCAGCTTAAGCACCATATATATTCTACATGGAGCCTTTTCTGATCCCCTCCCCCCAATTTCTAGCACCATCTCCTTGAACAGCCCAGGAATAGCCTGAACTACAAAATGGGGATAATAATAGCACCTATCTCCCAGGGGTGTTGTGAAGATCAAATGAGATAGTATTTGTAAAAAGTTTAGCACAATGCCAGGCACTATGTAAATGCTAGCTATCATTATTGTTGTTATTGTTATTGCTATGACCTTGACTCTTCTTAGGTTGAAGATGGCTCATTCATCCCACTTGAACCAACATTGGCAAATTGAGGTGGCCCCCCCCAGGACGGTTGCCATGCAACTACTATTCTAACTCCTTCTGGATGACCATTACCATCAATACTGTGTCTCACAGAGTCCTTTTCATCAGTGTACTTTTCAAGAATAAATCAGTACTAATACTCAATCTTAACTAAAACATTTACTGAAAATGCAAAGCAAATATGTATAATATGGCAATAATATCACATGGCATTCTACCAATATACTTCAATTATACTCTCCCATCAAAGCACACAGAGGCCATTCAAAGAGTGGACACCCACCTAAAGTCCCGAGGTTAGTAAAAAACATATGTGCAAGGAACACAGGTGGCCAGGGCAACTCAACTCTTGCAGACTTCAGTGTCCTTTATCTCAGGACTTTCCATAGAAGTTCTCTGATAAGCATATGTTCTGTGTTGAAGAGATACTTCCACTGCTAAGCCTAGCTGATCCATTCTGTGTTTGACTAACACCTTAATGGACATAATTTCTCAGTCAGCCTGGTTGATCTGATGATTCTCTGCTTCCAAACTGAGGATCAGCTCTGCCCAGCTGGACATGCTTTTCAGTAGCAACTGTGCTATCTGTCACTTCCAGTTTCAGGCTTAGCTGATGCCTTCTGGTAAAGTAATGACCTTTATCCTAGAGTTAGCAAAACTATCTACAATTCTGCTCTTTTGCAAGATTCTTCTCATTTCTTAGCACAATGCCTGGCACACAGTAGGCACTTACTAATAACTTTCTCTTCTATTCCCCATATTTCTTTCCTTTCCTTTCCTTTCCTTTCCTTTCCTTTCCTTTCCTTTCCT